GTGAGCATTCTAAAATAGAAGTCAGATTTTGAGTTGGTAGAGTGCTTGCCTTACATGCACAAGGCCCTGGGTTCAATCCCCAGCACCATAAAATAAATAAATAAATAAATAAAATAAAAAGGGCTCAGAGGGGTGCAAGTCTGTAATCCCAGCCGCTTGGGAAGCTGAGGCTGGAGGATCGATCCCCAATTCAAAGCCAGCCTCAGCAATTTAGCAAGACCCTAAACAACTCAGCAAGACCCTGTCTGTAAATAAAATATTTAAAAAAGGACAAAAAAAAAAGTCAGATTTTAACACTTATATACACAAAACCCTCCAAGGACTTCCCAGCTCACTTGGAATAAAAGCCATGGCATCATGGTAATTGACAGATATCCTAGAGTTGTACTTCTCCAGGTTAGTCTCAGATTGCATCTCCTGGTTTCCCCTCTCACTTCACTTTAGTGGTTCCCAAATAGACCATGCACACTCCGAATCTCTAGTCCTTTCTCTTGCTGTCCTCTTATTCCAAAGAGCCTCATAGCTAAGATCCATATGTCTGATTTTACCCAGAACATTTTTTTTTTTTCCGGGGTGGGGAGACCAGGGATTGAACTCAGAGGTATTTGGCCTCTGAGCCACATCCCTAGCCCTATATTGTATTTTATTTAGAGACAGGGTCTCACTGAGTTGCTTAGTGCCTTGCTATTGCTGAGGCTGGCTTTGAGCTCGCAGTCCTCCTGACTCAGCCTCCTGAGCCACTGGGATTACAGGTGTGCTCCACCATGCCCGGCCCAGAACAGTTTTGAACTTGTTGACTTGTATAATTATTAATAGTGTCCCCTTTCATTCTCATGGGTGTCCTGGATTATAGAAGTTATGTTGACATCCCCCACATCTCCACTAGCTTACTCTTTTACTTCCTTCAAGTCTTGCCTGAATTGCCACACTCTACATCAGAATTCTTCATGTATCCTCCCTACCTAATATTTCTCCTTATCATTACCTGACATACTAGATTTTTTTTTTACTTTTGTATTCTTATTGTTAGATCCATGAGGATGAGGATTTTTGTTTTACTTATGGCTGTACCTCTAGAGCTTAAAACAGTTCTGGCACATGGTAGATAGTTGGTAGACATATGGTAAAGTAGATAGTTGAGTGAATGCTAGAAGCCTTAGGTAAGCTTTTTCTCACTGAAGCATGATTTAATTTTTCTTCTAATGCTTTTCTTAAACCTTGTTGAACAATTAAACTGGATTTGTTTCTTCAAGGACTTGGGCATTCTTTTTTTTTTTTTAAACTTTTTAAGCATTTATTTTCTAGGTGTAGATGGACACAACACAATGCCTTTATTTTTATGTGGTGCTGAGGATCAAACCTGGGTCCTGTCAGTGCTAGGCAAGCGCTCTACCTCTGAGCCACAATCCCAGCCCCAGGCATTCTTTTTAAGTAGCTTTCTTTACAAGCTGTCCTCAATTTTCATGGAATATGGTTTGCTATTTTCAAACTGTGAACCCTCCCCAAAATGTTTATTTAACTCTATCCACTGTGCTAAGTTCTGAGAAGAAACAAAATCCCATGTAGCTGGAATTACTGGTATATACCATTGTGCTGGTATATTTTAAATTTACATATAAGACACCAAATTTCCAGACCTCAGGGTGCTCTGGCTTGTCATTCCTTTGGGATTCAACCAGAAAAGACAGAAGAAAACCTCATGTGTGACTCTACCTTTACCTCCTCAGACTTGACAGATCACACCAAACCCAGATACTTAAGTATGACTCAAATTTTCTTTTGCATTTGAACATGATTCATGAATCCTGACTCATAAGAGTAACATCTCTGTGGGTTTCTCTCCTGACTCTGTTGAATTTCGTTTTGAGTGTGGTTGGTGGTGGCCTCAGAGCCATGCCCTTCACTTATTTTTCACTGTGGTCCCCAGCAGGGGCCAGTGCATTGGGCAGATTGTTTCCTTTCCTTTCTGTTTCATTCCTACCTTCCTTCTTCTCTTTCTTTCCCCTTCCTTCTTTCCTTCTCTCCCTCCTTTCCTTCCTGTTTTTTTTTTTTTTTTTTTTTGGTACCAGGGATTGAATCCAGGGGTGCTTAACCCCACATCCCCAGCCCTTTTTTGTATTTTATTTAGGGACAGAGTCTCACTGAGTTGATTAGGGCCTTGCTAATTTGCTGAAGCTGGCTTTGAACTCAGGATGCTCCTGCCTTAGCCTCTTGAGCCTTTGGGATTATAGGTGTGTGCCACCCGGCTCTTCCTATTTTTTAAAAAACATTATTTGGCAGTATTGGGGATTGAACCTAGCTAGGGCTAATCTGCCATTGAATTATAGCCCAGCCTTTTTTTTAAAATTTTTTGAAGTAGTAATAGTAGGGTGCTCGGCCACTGAACTATGCCCCCAGTCCTTTTTATTTTTTAGACACAAGGCCTCACTAAGTTGCCAAAGATAGTCTAGAACTTGCTAGCCTCCTATCTCAACCTCCCATGTAGCTGGAATTACTGGTGTATACCATTGTGCTGGTATATTTTAAATTTACATATAGTAAAATTTTCTCTTTTTAGCATATAGTTCTATGAGTTTGATAAATTCAGAGCCACATACCCATCAACAAATACATAAAAATACAGAACTTTTTCATGAATCCCCAGAATTCTTTCTTGTTGCCTTTTTATTTTTTAAATTTTTTACTTAAAAAAATATATATGTGTGTATGTGTATATATATACATACACATACACACACACATATGCATGCATGCACGCGCGTGCACACATACGTGTGTGTGTGTGTGTGTATGTGTGTGTGTATATGTATATATTTAGTCGTAGCTGGACACAATGCCTTTATTTTATTTATTTTTATACGGTGCTAAGGATTGAACCCAGTGCCTCGCACGAGCTAGACAAGTGCTTTACTGCTGAGCCACAACCCCTTTTTATATTTGATCCCTTTCCTGTCTCCTAGCAACCATAAATCTGTTCTCTGTCCCTCTAGTTTTATATTTCTCAGCATGTTGGAATCATACACTGTGTAGCTCTGAGTCTGGCTTCTTTCACTCATCTAATGCATTTGAGATTCATCCAGTTGTTGCATACATCAGTAGTTCATTACTTTTTATTTCGGAGTAGTATTCCCATGTGTGGATATAGTGCAGTTTGTTTATCTCTTCACCATTTGAAAGACATTTGTGTTTTTTTTACAGGTTTTGGCAACTATGAATAAAGCTGCTTTAAACATTGATATAATTTTGCATCAACAAACTTTGTATGAGCATAAGTTTTCATTTCTCTTATGTAAAGTCATATGAGTGGGAGTAAGTCATACAAACTGTTTTCCTAAGTGGTGTATCATTTAGTATTCCTACCAGCAATGTATAAGAATTTTCGTTGCTCCACATCTTTGTCAGTAGTTGCTATGATTAATTATTTTTTAAATATTTTTTTTATACCTTTATTTTATTTATTTATTTTTACGTGGTGCTGAGGATTGAACCCAGCACCTCGCAACTGCTGGGTGAGTGCTCTAGCGCTGAGCCACAACCCCAGCCCTGATCAGTCATGGTTCTAAAATATTTTTTTTTATTTTTAGTTATAGTTGGATACAATACCTTTATTTTTTTGATCTATTTTTATGTGGCCTCACACATGCTAGGCGAGTGCTCTACTGCTCAGCCACAAATCCCAGCTCCCGATCAGTCATTTTTAATCATTAATTTTGGTGTATAGAGCTATCTCGCTGTGCTTTTTTATTTATTTAAGTTTTTTTTGTAGCTGTAGATAAACAGAATGCCTTCATATTATTTATTTATTTAAATATTTTTAGTTGTCGATGAACCTTTATTTTATCCATTTTTATATGGTGCTGAGAATCAAACCCAGTGCCTCACACATACTAGGCAAGCACTCCACCACTGAGTCACAACCCTAGCCCCTATTTTATTTATTTTTATGTGGTGCTAAGAATTGAACCCAGTGTCACATATGCTAGGCAAGTGTTCTACCACTGAGCTACAGACCCAGCCCCTCATTGTGCTTTTAATTTGCTGTTTCCTTAATGACTAATGATGTTGAATATGTTTGTATGTGCTCATTCACCTTCGTTTATCCCATGATGAATTGTCTGTTCAAATCTTTTGCCCATTTATTCAGTGGGTTTGAGTTTTTGTGGTCTTGAGTTGTGAGAGTTCTCTGAATATTCTGGATATAAGTTCTTTCCCAGAGAACATGATTTGTGCATGCTCTCTCTCAAGCTTGTTTTTCCTAAGATTTCACAAGGAATTTATAAATAGTTGTTCTCATTATAAAATAAGATTCAAATAACACAAAAGAATTTAGAGTAAAAAGCACAAGTTCTCTTTTACTTTCTGCCATCTTTAGCTTTCTTTTTTGGGATAACCACTGTTGATAGTTTGTTGAGGATCTTTTCAATTCTTTTTATGGTACTATAAGTACTATTATGTGTTTTAAAATTAGTTTTATTACTTTTTAGTCAGTAAGTAGCATTTCAAAGAATGTCTGTTTCCCTTTTCAGCCCAGTTGTAGGTAGAATTATTGTTATTCTCTTAAAATAGTGAGTTTTGATGTCTTATGTCATATTCTAGAAAGCCATGATTTGGGGAGGAATTCTAGTAGATAAGGATGAATTATGAGTGGACTAAATTTAAATAGGTCTTTTTAGATTTGCTAAAAATTGCTGTGATTATAGTTGAAATGATTTCGTAATGTGTTCATTTTCTTTAAAAAAGTAGTGGGTTGCTTTGCTAAAAAGTCTCATTTGGCAAAGAATGATATTAATAAAACCTTAAAGTTCTGATTCGTTCCCAAGTTTTATTTTGTTCATTTTTTCTTTGATCCTTTTGCACTGTTTGAAATCCTTAGCCTAGAATTGACACTTAATTATCATTTTTATTTTTAGCTTGAATTTGGAGCCTTTTAAAAGTATAACTGGGAGAACTCTTTTGCAAAATGAGCTTCATTCAGACAAGCTGTTTTTATCTTTCCATAGGTACGAATCCTAGGATTCAGAATAAGGATTCTCTAGAGGACAATGTTTCTACCTCTCCAGACCCAAGTAAGAGGGGGGGGAACTGCTAGCAGGAGGTAGATATTAGGGTTTATGGGATGTTCAGAGCATGAGGAAGAAAGAAAAAGCCCTGTGGGAAGAGAATGGTTTAGAAGTCCATACTCTGTGGGGTACAGGAAAGCAATGAGTGAGGGAGGTTTGTTTGGTTTCTCTGATGTGAAATGAGAGAGGTGTGGCCCAAGACTTGTTTCAAAATGTAATTCAGTGCACATGGAAAAGGTAACAGATTTACTCATAGGCCTCTTGTGCCAGTCTAGATCTGGCATTAGCTCTTAAATGCCTAATGATGGCTCTAGAAAAAAATTGCAAAGAAATAATAGGCAATTACTGGAACTCCTTACACACCTGTAGATGATGATATTTGATAGTTTGTACTCATTTTGGCCATTCTTGTCAACTTAAATAGATGTACAGTAAGAGAACATCTTATCTACAGTCACAAAATAGCAGGAAAAAAAAAATCCTGCCACCTCATAAACTTCATTTTGCTTGACTATGACCAAAGGATATACATCAATGAGTCATTTTGTCTACATTTTTTGATTAACTTAATCCTTTTATTATATCTTTAGGTCCTGAATTGTCATTTTAACTTCCTCTATGAAACATATTACATATGTTGGTTAGAGTAATCATTTCTTATGTGTGACCATTTAGACAGTTTCCAATTTTTTTTTTTAGTGATGGCATATAATGAAGGTATAGTGAATGGCAGAGGGTATATTTTTTTCTTTCGGTTTATGATTGGCAGATTGATTATTTTCTAAAAAGCTGCGAGCAATGAAAAGATGGATTTTGTTATCTACTTATTATTTCGGGGTAGACCTCCTTAGAGGCCTTCTTTCAGGACCAGAATGTATGGGGTACAAGAGGCCACAGTTTTTCTCCCAGGGAAGAACATCATTAAACTAAGACTCTGAAGCCTTTTCAATGTGGGCTTTAGGACCAGGCATTTTGGTGTATTTTGGTGTGTGCCCAGCAGAAAGCATTTTTACAGGTTTTTTATAATCCCAAGGATTGGTAGGCTGATGAGGGTCAACATGACTTACAAGGCTAAAAGATATAGATGACTTTTATTCCTGGCCTCCCCACCATGGCTTTGATCAGATTTCTCTATTCTCCTGTATCTATCTAGGAAGTAGGAATAAGTTTAGCTCCTTGTCTACCATGGGGGAAACTGGGGTGATTATTTTGGCTATTCTGTGCTGAAGTATTAATGAGTTAATAAGACTGCGTAGACCATGAAGGTGATCCTAAGAGAGTTTAATCATCTTCCCCACTTCAGTGGTGCTACATGGGGCATCTTCTCACTGTGATTTAGCACACAGGTCTTCCTCATCCATGTGAGGGTGATGTGAGGGCAGATGAGGCAACCATGTCATTAGCTGTAATCACTATATAAATATGAGTTGTGAAGAGCCCACTCAAGACCCAGAGGCAAAGGCACAAAATTTTTTTCTTCCATATTGCTTGTCTTATAGAGACTTTGAAAATAATCTTTACTTAAAAAGATGTTACTTAAAGATTAAGACAGGTGTGGAGGCTTATTTCCACTGGTTCAGGAAGCTGAGGCAGGAAGACTGCAAGTTCAAAGTCAACCTCAGCAGCTTAGTGAGGCATTAAACAACTCAGCAACACCCTGTCTCTAGATAAAATATATATATAAAAAAGAACGGGGTGTATGTGCTGGGAATGTGGTTCAATGGTTAAGTGCCCCTGGGTTCAATCCCTGGTACTGAAAAAAAAAAAAAAAAGCTACCATAATCCTCACTTAAATACCTGAAGTGGAATAACTTTATAAAGAAAAGAGGTTTATTTAGCTTATAGTTTGAGAAGCTGAAATTGTAAGCTACATGATGTTAGCTTGGCTGAGAGCCCCTCAGATGCATCACATGATAGTGAAAGGCTCACAATGAGAGATCATGTAATAGGGAAAGATCATATGAAAAGACAGGAAACCAGAGTATGGAGAGGGGCTAGAAGAACCAAGAACACTCAAGCACTGTCTCAAGATCACATCAGAGCTTCCCTGATCCCTCCCCAAGGGCATGCTCCTAATCACCTCCTTTGGGCTTTACCTCTTAGAGGTTTTACATTTCTCCTCACCCAACACTGGGACCAACCCCCCTCCCCCCCCAAACAAATCCTTGGGAAACAAACCACATCCAAACCAAAGCACCACTTAATTACTTCCCCTCAGTGATTCTCAAATGGGCAGTATCAGGGAACTTGTAGCACTATCTGCAGACATTTCTGGGTTTCACCACTCGAGGGAGCCAGTGGCACCTAGTGTATAGTGTTCAGTGATGCTGCGTAACACTCTACAATGCTGAGGATAGCCCTCCTCAGCCCAGAATTAGCTGTTTGAAGTGTCAATGTTTCCAAGATTGAGAAATCTTGCTTTAACTGAAGAGCAGACAATTCCAGACAGACCCATGTGGTTGGCCCACTCTGCTTATTGCAGCTTTTTTTTCTGGATTGTCTAACTCTGTCTCTTAAAGTTCCAGCCTCAAAACTTTCCCAGACATCCTCCCTTATTTTTTTCTCCTGCCCTTTTGGATCTTTTGCAGTTCTCAAAAGTATAACTTATTTCTGTGACTGTATGCTGTTTTGCTGTCAAATCAGGCTCAGCTGTCTTCCTTTCCCACTTAGCCACTCTGCAGTCCTCCAGAGGGGCTCCAGCCTGAGCCTCTCATCTGCTCTCAGAAAATTGATTTGCTTGGACATGTAATCCTGCCTGCCCTGCAGTAACCTCACTGGTATTGTGGCTGTAGCTCATGTTCAGCAGAAAATATAATATATCAGCTGCGAATCCCACTTGCATGATGGGATTGGAGAAGCATGTGCACTGCATTGTCTAACAAAATCTGTTTCTCTCTTTTCTCTTTCTCCCTCCCCCACCCTTTCCTCTTCTCCTTCCCTATCCTGGCAATTTTATTACCTTTTACAATGAACTGTTTTCTCACCCTTGTTCCCTCTCCTTCCCCCATATCCCAAACCTGCCATGGTGACCACACATACCTTTTTACCCTGTTATGCGAGGCAGTTCTGACACTGTCTGCTCCCCCTGTAGTGCCAGGCTTCTGTTGCACAGTTGGAGTGGACTGGAAGTCTCTCACTACTCCGGCATGCCTCCCCCTCACCACCGACTACTTCCCCGACCGCCAGGGCCTGCAGAATGACTATACGGAAGGCTGCTATGATCTCCTGCCGGAAGCAGACATGGACAGGTTGGTTCAGAAAAAGGTATTCAGAGTCCTTGGAGTATAACTAAGTGACTCAGTGGTAGAGTGCTTGCCTAGCACATACAGGTCCTGGGTTCAATGTCTAGCATGATTAAAAAAAAAAAAAAGCTCAGCTTTGTTTATGAGGGTTCTGATTATGTACAAACAAATGCATCATAATATTGAACTTTTAAATCTGTATTCTTTTATATTTAGGAGATTTTGTGATGCAAGAACTGTTCATTTCTTTCAAGTTCTGTTGACATTAACAATTTCTCCTCTTTGATTTCAAATTTTCTTTTGCAATTATTTTGGGCACACTAAATCTCTTCTTCTTTTCTAAGGTTACTCATTTGGGCATTGATTATTACTTGCCTTCTTTTTCCATGCCTTTGAACTTATCATTTCTCCCAGACTGATTTACAAATTGATAATTTTATGAAATGCCATATAATGGTTGTCTGGGATGAAGTAAAGGACTTCACACTATGAACTCTTAAGTGTCACTTCCCAAGGCCAAACACATATATCCATGTGCACAATCATCTGGTTTTTTTTTTTTAGGAGGGATGAAGATGGTGTGCAGATGACAGCCCAACAGGTGTTTGAAGAGTTCATTTGCCAGCGCCTCATGCAGGGTTACCAAATCATAGTGCAGCCCAAGGCACAGAAACCCAACCCCGCTGTTCCACCCCCATTGAGCAGTAGCCCACTCTATAGTCGAGGTGAGTGCACTCCTTTTTTCTTTTCAACTAAGTTTGTAGGAGTTGTTTTTCATGATGGTAGGGAACAAATAAATTTAGGAATTATTTTCAGCACAAAGTTTTTCTTTGTCACTTTTACTTTGAGTAATAGTTACATTAAGTGCAAATGTATCTTAAACATTTTCTTTATACTCTCCATTTTAAAAAATATTTTGTTTTAATTAGTTTAATTAGTTATACATGACAGTAGAATGCATTTATGCATTTTGATATACATTTGATATATAGATTGTATATAATTTCTCATTTTTCTGAGTGTACATGTTGTGGGATCATATTGGTCATGTAGTCACATATATACATATAGTTTCATTTGTCTGTTTCATTTTAGTATCTTTCCTATTCCCACATCCCCTCCCTTCCTTCCCATCACTTCCCTCTACCTAATCTAAGGTAACACTATTCTTCCGTAGTGTCCCCTGCCTTATTGTGATTTAGCATCTGCATATTAGAGAAAACATTCGGCCTTTGGTTTTGTGGGATTGGCTTATTTCGCTTAGCGTGATATTCTCCAACTCCAATCATTTACTGGCAAATGCCATAATTTTACTCTTCTTTAAAGCTGACTAATATTCCAATGAGTATATATACCACCTTTTTTTATGCATTCATCTCTTGAGGGACACCTAGGTTGGTTCCATAGTCTAGCTATTGTGAATTGAGCTGCTATAATCATCGATGTGAATGCGTCACTATAATATGCTCATTTTAAGTCCTTTGGGTATAAACCAAGGAGTGGAATAGCTGGGTCAAATGGTGGTCTCATTCCCAGGTTTCTGAGGAATCTTCATACTGCTTTCTGTATTGGCTGCACCATTTTGCAGTCCCACCAACAATGTATGAGTGTACTTTTTTCACTGCATCTTCACCAACATTTATTGTTGCCTGTATTCTTTTTTTTTTTAAAGAGAGAGAGAGAGAGAGAGAATATTTTTTAATTCACAACATCTTTGTTTGTATGTGGTGCTGAGGATCGAACCCGGGTCGCACGCATGCCAGGTGAGCGTGCTACCACTTGAGCCACAGCCCCAGCCCCTTGCCTGTATTCTTGATGATTGCCATTCTGACTGGAGTGAGATGAAATCTTAGAGTAGTTTTGATTTGCATTTCTCTAATTGCTAGAGATGTTGAACACTTTTTCATATATTTGTTGATCAATTGTGTTTCTTCATCTGTGAAGTGTCTGTTCAGTTCTTAGCCCATTTATTGATTGGGTTATTTGTTGTTTTGGTGTTAAGATTTTTGAATTATTTATATATTTTAGAGATTAATGCTTTATTGGAGGTGCATGTGGTAAAGATTTTCTCCCAATCTGTAGGCTGTCTCCTCACATTATTATTTCCTTTGCTGAGAAGAAGCTTTTTAATTTGAATCTATCCCATTTATTGATTCTTGATAAGAGTCTTGTTAAGGAAGTCAGATCCTAGTTTGACATGGTGAAGATTTGGGCCTATTTTTTCTTCTATTAGGCACAGGGTCTCTGTTCTGTGCCTAAGTCTTTGATCCACTTTGAGTTGATTTTTGTGCAGGGTGAGAGATAGAGGTTTTATTTCATTTTGCTACATATGGATTTCCAGTTTTACCAGCACCATTTGTTGAGTAGGCTATCTTTTCTCCAGTGAATATTTTTGGCACCCTTGTTTGGTATGAGATAACTGTATTTATGTAGGTTTGTCTCTGTGTCCTCTCTTCTGTACCATTGGTTTACAAGTCTGTTTTGTTGTCAATACCATGCTGTTTTTGTTACTGTAGGTTTGTAGTATTGTTTAAGGTCTGGTATTGTGATGCCTCCTGCTTCACTCTTCTTGCTAAGGATGCTTTAGCTATTCTGGTCTCTTATTTTTCCAAATAAATTTCATGATTGCTTTTTCTGTTTCTATGAAGAATGTCATTGGGTTTTTAATAGAAATTGCATTAAATCTGTATAACGCTTTTGGTAGTGTGGCCTTTTTGACAATATTAATTCTGCCTATCCAGGAGCATGGGAGATCTTTCCATCTTCTGAGGTTTTCTTCAGTTTCTTTCCTTAGTGTTCTGTAGTTTTCATTATAGAGGTGTTTCACCTCTTTTGTTAGAATGATTCCCAGGATTTTTTTTTTTTTTTGGGGGGGGCTATTATGAATGGAATAGTTTTCTAATTTTTCTTTCAGTGGATTCATTGCTGATGTATAGGAATGTGTTTGATTTATGGGTGTTGATTTTATATCCTGCTACTTTACTGAATTCATTTATTAGTTCTAGAAGTTTTCTGGTGGAATTTTTTGGATCTTCTAGATAGAAAATCATGTTGTTAGCAAATAGTGATAGTTTGAGTTCTTTTTTACCTATTTGTATCCCTTTAATTTCCTTTATCTGTCTAATTGTTCTGGCTAGAGTTTCAAGGATGATGTTGAATAGAAGTGGTAAAAGAGGACATCCTTGTCTTTTTCCAGTTTTTAGTGGGAATGCTTTCAATTTCTCTCCATTTAGAATGATGCTGGCTTGGGGTTTAGCATATATAGCTTTTACAGTGTTGAAGTATGTTCCTACTAAGTCTTTCAAGTGATTTGAACATGAAGGTGTGCTGTATTTTTTCAAATGCTTTTTCTGCATCTATTGAGATGATCATATGATTCTTCTTTTTACATCTATTAATATGATGAATTACGTTTATTGATTTCTGTATGTTGAACCAACCCTGCATCCTTGGGATGAATCCTGCTTGATAGTGGTGCACTATCTTTTTAATATGTTTTTGTATGCAATTTGCCAGAATTTATTGAGAAGTTTTGCATCTATGTTCATCAGGGATATTGGTCTGAAGTTTTCTTTCCTTGATGTGTCTTTGTCTGGTTTTGGTATCAGGATGATGTTAGCCTCATAGAATGAGTTTAGAAGGATTCCCTTCTTTTCTATTTCTTGGAATACTTTGAGGAGTATTGGTGTTAATTTTTTTTTGAGAGTCTTATAGAACTCGGCTGAGAATCCATCTGGACCTGGGCTTTTCTTTGTTGGTAGGCTTTTGATGGCGTTTTCTTTTCATTAATTGAAATTGATCTGTTTAAATCATGTATGACCTCCTCATTCAGTTTGGGTAGGCTTTATGTCTCTAGAAATTTTTCAATGTCTTCAATATTTTCTATTTTATTAGTATAAATTTTCAAAAATAGTTTCTAATTATCTTCTGTATTTCAGACGTGTCCATTGTGCTATTTCCTTCTTCATCTTGTATTTTAGTAATTTGAGTTTTCTCTCTCTTTCTCTTCATTAGCATGGCCAGGGGTTTATCTATTTTATTTGTTTTTTCAAAGAACCAACTTTTGTTTTGTCAATTTTTTGAATTGTTTCATTTTGTTTCAATTTCATTAATTTCAGTTCTGATTTTAATTATTTCCTGTCTTCTACTGCTTTTGGTATTGATTTATTCTTCTTTTTCTAGGGCTTTGAGATGTAGTGTTAGGTCATTTATTTGTTGACTTTTTATTCTTTTAATGAATGCACTCAATGCAATAAACTTTCCTCTTAGTACTGCCTTCATAGTGTCCCAGAGATTTTGATATGTTGTAGCAGAGTTCTCATTTACCTCTAAGGATTTTTTAAAATTTTGCCCTTGATTTCTTCTAGTATCCATTCATCATTCAATAGTGTATTATTTAGTCTTCATTTGATACAGTAGCTTGTATTTTTAATTTTATCATTGATTTCTAATTTCATCCCATTATTGTCTAATTGAATGCAGGGTAGTATCTCTATTTTTTTTGTATTTGCTAAGAGTTGCTTTGTGGCATAAGATATGGTCTCTTTGGGAGAAGAAGCCATGTACTGTTGAGAAGACAATATATTTGCTCATTGATGAAAGAAATATTCTATATATGTCTGTTAAGTCTAAATTATTGATTATATTATTTAGTTCTGTAGTTTCCTCATTTAGTTTTTGTTTGGAAGATCTGTCCAGTAGTTAGAGAGGTGTCTTAAAGTCACCCAGTATCATTGTATTGTGGTCTATTTGACTATTGAAGTTGAGAAAGGTTTGTTTGATGTTCATAGATGCTCCATTGTTTGGGGCATAAATATTTATAATTGTTATGTCCTGCTTATATATACTTCCCTTAAGAAGTATGTGAAATGTCCTTCTTGTCATTTCTGATTAACTTTGGTTTGAAGTCTACTTTATCTGAAATGAGAATGGAAACCCTTGCTTGTTTACTCAATCCATATGAGTGATAAGTTTTTTCCTATCCTTTCACCTTCAGCCTGTGGATGTCTTTGCCCATGAGGTGAGTATCTTGAAGACAGCATATTGTTAGGTCTTGCTTTTTAATCCAGTCTGCCTCTCTGTCTTTTGATTGATGACTTTAGGCCATTAATATTCAAGGTTATTATTGAGATATGATTTGTATTCCCTGTCATTTTGATTTAATTCAGGTTTTTGATTTGTCCTAGTTTCTCATTTGGTTGAATGTCAATTTAGTGTAGATCCTCCCTTTGCTGGTTTTCACTTTTTTTTTTTTTTAACTTCATCCTCATGGAATGTTTTGTTGAGTATGCTCTATAGGGTAGGCTTTCTAGTTGTGAATTCTTTTAATTTTTGTTATAATGGAATGTTTTAATTTCATCTTCAAATCTGAAACTTAATTTTGCTGGATATAAAATTCTTGGTTGGCATCTGTTTTCTTTCAGAGGTTGAAATATATTACTCTAGGGCCTCCTAGTTTTGAGGGTCTGGACTGACAAATCAGTTAAGATAGGAATTGGTTTTTTCCCTATATGTAATTTGATATTTTTTTTCTCTCACAGCCTCCAAGATTTTTATCTTTATTCTCTGTTAGTCATTTTCATTATAATATGTCTTAGTGTGGGTCTGCTGTAATTTTGTACATTTGGGGTCCTGTAGGCCTCTTGTATTTGATTTTCCATTCCAATCTTCAGATTTGGGAAATTTTCTGCTATTAAATCATTGAAAAGATTGTGCATTCCTTTGG